TATACTCCATTAGAAAGTTTCAGCAGTAAAGGTACAGAACTATTTACTTTTGTTATTGATATATACGGACAATGATGTAATGGACGTCATGTCGTCCATGTTTTGTGTAACTTATGTTCGTGTGTTTTTGGAATTCAAGGACTGTACGACACACGTCTTTCCCCCATGACTGGATCCAGAGACGTACCTGAGAGTTTCTGTTAGCTTAGCGCTCGGCCCCTGTTTGGTTCCTGACAGCAGGGTGTGGAGTCGTCCGACACTCTTCATGGCGGATGAGACCGGGGACGCCAAACGGTTCTCCTGAACGTACTTCCTGCCTGTCAGAGGCGTGGAGACCTTCAGAGCTGAGGCCTGGCGACAGGAGAGGTTGGTTATTTGATATTTTTGGATCAGCAGTGAGTGAACGGGCTGTAGCGTAGTGTTTATCGTCTCACAGTGAGGCTGGTGTGGAGCCTGTAGGTGGCGCTGTCCTGGTTCTCCACACCTTCACACAGGCAGGGCCCCGGGGTACCGATGTCCTCGCTCGCTCCCTCCCCGGTGAAGATCCTCTCGTCCAGACTGCCGGTGGCCAGAATGTGTTCCTCATACACCCGACTGAGAGATAAACTGGACACAGAACAGGAAGCAGAGCGGGAATAAGCTGCTGATCTCATGGTGTTTCATTATAAACACGGTCTGTAGGACGACACTCACAAACTGTCTCCAAAGTTCATGGGATCCAGAAAGCCGGTCAGACCGTCCTCTTTTCCTCTGAGGATCTGTGGGAGAGAGAGAGAGAGGACGTTTACTACGTCAGTTCGACTGTTGATGTATTTACAGTGTAAGCTCTGTTAGCTTTGGTGGCCCCCCTCCTCTGATTACAGGAAGTTAACTCTGGTTTATAGAAACGTCCCCGACTGTCCACTCTGTGTCAGCGCTTGACTCTCAGGGTTCAGGATGATTTACAGCAGCAGATAAAATACAGATTTCCCTAAATGTGCTAATAATTACCAGAACATTACCAGCAGCACTGGTGACTTTACAATCATATAATTCAGTTAACAGGTCTATGGTTTTAGGGTGGAGGACCTCTTTAATGTCGGTGTAACCAGTGTGTGAACGATTAAAACGACCACAGTACAAATGGACTGATGTATGAGTCTTAGAGAGAACCAGATACTGAAGCAGTCTCACCCTCTTGTGGAAGAGTTTCTTGATAAAAGGTTTCCAGAAGTGTTCTTTGACTCCTTTGGCCTCCAGAACCAGTCCGTCGTGCAGCTCACACAGCTGCTCTATGAAGCAGTACGGACCCGGGGCCGGTCTGTAGTCTTTACTGCTGAAGTCCTCTGGTAGACCTGGAGGACAGCAGACAGAAATATCATTATAACATAAAGCTCAATCACATCAACCAGGACTGAAATCTGAACGACTGATCCTTTAACTTCTGACTGTCTCTGACTGAATGACCCCATTTTGTCTGTCTGTGTTTTTATCTTTAATAACTCATGTTTATTTATTCAACCTTTAACTTTAACTGTACTTTCTCCTGTTGAGGCCTGTAAAGTGCCCCCCCAGGAGGTTTCATGTGGTCTTCAATCCCCTGCCTGTATATTGGTGGTTGTGTTTGAGAAGTTAGTTTCCTGTGTGAATGCAGTTTGACGTGGTGTCATTTTTCATGTTCAGGCTGGCAGAGCAGTTTCCTGGGGGGGGGCAGAGGAAACACCAGGTGTCAACAGGAAGAGGGGGGGCAGTGCTGCAGGGTTTTCTGGGAGACTGCTGGTTGGAATTAGTTGAGCAGCAAGAGCGTAGCTTTAGATTTATTTTCTGTGTTTGATTTAGTGATTAACAGACTTCCTGTGATCCACAACACTTTATTATTCTTCATGTTCTTTAAACGTCTGTGTGGATCCAAATATAATAACTGATGTTTCTGTTCTTAACATTAGCATCATCTTTTAATCTTGAACTTTAATTAATATAAAAGCTGCTTTATAATGTGATTGATTAATGTCATCCTAATCCATACTCTGGATATTTCTATTCAACTCCAGCTGTAACATTTACACTTTATCTCATAAGTTTAGATTTTTTTAAACTTTCACTCTGCAACCTTATGTTGTATAATGAGTCTATCTGAACATTTGGATCCATATATCTGTATATATTAATCACATGTGGGCCGTTCTGTTCCTCAACCTTGCAGTGGTACCTCTGAAGTTGGGGTTGAGCAGGTCTTTCCTGGCGTTGCACAGCAGAGCGTTGGTGAAGACGAGGTCGAGAGCACACAGCAGCAGATGATACGAGTTCACCAGGTCGTCGCTGATCATCGGGAAGTTCCCTGAACGAGAGAGAGAGAAACACGTCAGAGCACGACGGCATGAGTACTGCCAAATCCACCAGGCAGGTTTCAACTAGACTCAGATATCAGATTCACAGTGTGGGGATACACTCTCCTCCTCAGTACTGCTTCCTTTGAGCAAGGCACCACAGAGCTGCTCATCTTTTTATACATTGTTACAGTGAAGATATCAGTGATAGCCGGTGTCGACAAACTGAATGTCTCCTTTAAAGACAGGACCTCTGACCTTTAGCATGGACGAACAAAACCCAGCAGAAGTTGAAGACCTCGCTCACAGTGCAGGGATGGCGTCTGGAGACAAAAACAAATATATTGTTTACACATCGTTTATGTATTATAGTAATATAAACTCTAAACAACCGACACAGAGTCCAAAGTCAAAGCTAACAACACTTGTGGAACGTATTGTCTGATATTGTAGCTAGCTTCCCCCGGGGCTGATCTGGCTGGCTAACATTATCGGTAGCGTAATAATATCTGAGTGTATATGTTATTTGGCTAACGTTAGCTTCCCCAGCTAACATGATCATGATACTAACTTATGTATTCTGACAAACGGTGTTGATTATAGTCAACAACTAGAAAATTCCTGACGAGATTTTGAGGTTGCCTGGCTCTGGCCCATACATTACTGACACTGCCGAGTAGTTTACAGTATATGACCTCTACCATTGCTCAGGTATGTGACAGATGAGTGTGTTCTTCTCCCACTGAAATAGTGAGGCCGGTAACGAGTTAATGTTAATGTATTCTGCCCTAAAAAAGCATAACCACAGTAACTACACTAACAGTGAAACTGAGAAAAATGGCTTTAAGTTTTTTGACTGGCTGACTAGAATGGTGGTTATATGCATTATTATTATGTGTATTACCATAAACAGATATGTAGGTAGTGAAAATCACGACTGCAGTTACAACAGTCTGAGTGTCTTCTTCCTCACAAAATAAATCTAACTTGATGTTTTATTACATTACTAAATCTGTATTACTTGTGTCATGTGTAACAAGTTGAAATAGATGGCTAATTAAGAATTTCAGTGTCTTTTGTGACGTTTAATTAGCACAGGAATGACCAAAAAACGACCGAAATAAAAACCGAAAAGACCGTGAGCGTCGTCATCTTGTTGACTATAGGACTGCTGAGTTTCAGTGGCTAAAGTTAAAAAATGTGACCTCGGGAGATTGAGGAAGGAGAGGTTCAACAAGCTCCTTTAAAGAAAAAGATTAGATGGGGCAGTGAGAGGGTGGTGCTGGCGCATCAGCGCGTTTCCCGCCAAAACTATTTGTCTGACAGGTTCAGCAGTGGTATCACGGCGACCCCAACGGATTTACCTACGTTTCTATCTATAAATTATTTCTGTACAGTGACATTTGTGGCCTTGAGAGCAGTTTACAAATTTATTTTTTGACAAATTTTTTTTTTATACTGTTGGTAATACTGTAACTATGATTGACTCAATCACAATCACAATCAATCAATCTCAGTCAATTAGTAATTAATTACAATCAATTAAAACAGTAGTAAAGTAACTACAGTTAAAACAAGTAGTCTGTTGTCAATATAACAGTAATAACAACATATTATATATAATATATATAATATTAAAATATATTAAAATTAAAATAGATAAAACTGTAAGTGTGTGTGTGTATTAAAAAACAACAACAACAAAAACAACTACAACTAAAACAATAAATTATTTTATATACTTTATCTCTCTCTACACTCTAGCTGTGAATGTCTACCAATACACACCCATTCATTTTTTTGGCCTGGTTTTTGGCGATTTATCGGCAAACTGTTTGGCGAAACACTTTTTGATACCTTTTCGTGTACGTGCGACCAAAACTGTGGGAGGAGTAGTCGACTGAAAAACGACAAGGAATAAGAATAATAAGAATATTAAGTATGAGGAATAATAGGCACAAAGCTAACGATAGCTTTCTACTAGCTGAGAGTGATGTGAGGGAGGGGCATCCAGCTAGCTAACTGTAGCTAAGCTAACTGGTGTTGTCCAGCTGGATGTATCTTGGCGTTGCATTGTGGGTCTGGTGTTGCATTGTGGGACTGGTGTCGGTTGCTTCGTGGTGTTGGCTGATGGCTGACATTGCAGATAGTAACGTTATTCTAAATATGACTGTCAGTTATTTTACAGCGTTCAGTGTTTGTCTCTGTTGGCCGACGCCCAGGATGCAGTTCACTGAACGACCACTGGTGGCGCTGTTAGCTACAGTTTAATGAACGACCACTGGTGGCGCTGTTAGTTACAGTTCACTGAACGACCACTGGTGGCGCTGTTAGCTACAGTTTAATGAACGACCACTGGAGGCGCTGTTAGCTACAGTTCACTGAACGACCACTGGTGGCGCTGTTAGTTACAGTTTAATGAACGACCACTGGTGGCGCTGTTAGCTACAGTTTAATGAACGACCACTGGTGGCGCTGTTAGTTACAGTTCACTGAACGACCACTGGTGGCGCTGTTAGCTACAGTTTAATGAACGACCACTGGTGGCGCTGTTAGCTACAGTTCACTGAACGACCACTGGTGGCGCTGTTAGCTACAGTTTAATGAACGACCACTGGTGGCGCTGTTAGCTACAGTTTAATGAACGACCACTGGTGGCGCTGTTAGCTACAGTTTAATGAACGACCACTGGTG